GGGAGAGAGAGACACGGGAAGAGAGAGACTCTGGGAGAGACGGGGAGAGAGAGACACTGAGAGAGAGACACGGGGAGAGAGAGACACGGGGAGAGAGAGACATTGGGAGAGAGAGACACTGAGAGAGAGAGACACTGGGAGACACGGGGAGAGAGAGACACGGTGAGAGAGACACGGGGAGAGAGAGACACGGGGAGAGAGAGACACGGGGAGAGAGAGACACGGGGAGAGAGAGACACGGGGAGAGAGAGACACGGGGAGAGAGAGACACGGGGAGAGAGAGACACGGGGAGAGAGAGACACGGGGAGAGAGAGACACGGGGAGAGAGAGACACGGGGAGAGAAAGACACGGGGAGAGAGAGACACGGGGAGAGAGAGACACGGGGAGAGAGACAAGGGGTGAGAGAGACACGGTGAGAGAGAGACACGGGGAGAGAGAGACACGGAGAGAGAGAGAGACATTGGGAGAGAGAGACACGGAGAGAGACACGGGGAGAGAGAGACACGGGGAGAGAGAGACATTGGGGGAGAGACACGGGGAGAGAGAGACACGGGGAGAGATGGAGAGAGACACTGAGAGAGAGACACGGGGAGAGAGACACGGAGAGAGAGACACGGGGTGAGAGACACTGAGAGAGAGACATGGGGTGAGAGACACTGAGAGAGAGACACGGGGAGAGAGACACGGGGTGAGAAAGACACGGTGAGAGAGAGACGGGGAGAGGGAGACACGGGGAGAGAGAGACACGGGGAGAGAGAGACACGGGGAGAGAGAGACACGGGGAGAGAGAGACACGGGGAGAGAGAGACACGGGGAGAGAGAGACACGGGGAGAGATGGAGAGAGACACGGCGAGAGATGGAGAGAGACACGGCGAGAGATGGAGAGAGACACGGCGAGAGATGGAGAGAGACACGGGGAGAGATGGAGAGAGACACGGGGAGAGATGGAGAGAGACACGGGGAGAGATGGAGAGAGACACGGGGAGAGATGGAGAGAGACACGGGGAGAGATGGAGAGAGACACTGGGAGAGATGGAGAGAGACACGGGGAGAGATGGAGAGAGACACGGGGAGAGATGGAGAGAGACACGGGGAGAGATGGAGAGAGACACGGGGAGAGATGGAGAGAGACACGGGGAGAGATGGAGAGAGACACGGGGAGAGATGGAGAGAGACACGGGGAGAGATGGAGAGAGACACGGGGAGAGATGGAGAGAGACACGGGGAGAGATGGAGAGAGACACGGGGAGAGATGGAGAGAGACACGGGGAGAGATGGAGAGAGACACTGAGAGAGAGACACTGAGAGAGAGACACTGAGAGAGAGACACTGAGAGAGAGACACTGAGAGAGAGACACTGAGAGAGAGACACTGAGAGAGAGACACTGAGAGAGAGACACTGAGAGAGAGACACTGAGAGAGAGACACGGGGTGATAGAGACACTGGGAGAGAGAGACACTGGGAGAGAGAGACACTGGGAGAGATGGAGAGAGACACGGTGTCAGAGAGACACGGTGAGAGAGACACTGAGAGAGAGACACGGGGAGAGACGGGGAGAGAGAGACACGGAGAGAGAGACACGGGGAGAGATGGAGAGAGACACAGGGAGGGAGAGACACGGGGAGAAAGAGACACGGGGAGAGAGAGACACTGGGAGAGATGGAGAGAGACACAGGGAGAGATGGAGAGAGACACGGGGAGAGAGAGACACGGGGGGAGAGAGACACGGGGAGAGAGAGACACGGGGAGAGAGAGACACGGGGAGAGAGACATGGGGAGAGACTCTCTCACCGTGTCTCAGTCTCCCCGTGTCTCTCTCTCTCCCCGTGTCTCTCTGTCTCCGTGTCTCTCTATCTCCGTGTCTCTCTGTCTCTCTCTCCCCATGTCTCCGTGTCTCTGTCTCCCTGTCCCCGTGTCTCCGCCGAGTAGCTTTGCGATGATCTTCAATGGCACGGCCGACCTCCTGGGCTCCCTGGCCAGCACCTACGCCGGTATAGCCGTGTCTCTCTGTCTCACCGTGTCTCTCTCTCCCCGTGTCTCTCTGTCTCCCTGTCCCCGTGTCTCTGTCTCTCCGCCGAGTAGCTTCGCGATGATCTTCAATGGCACGGCCGACCTCCTGGGCTCCCTGGCCAGCACCTACACCGGTATCGCCGTGTCTCTGTCTCACCGTGTCTCTCTCTCCCCGTGTCTCCGTGTCTCTGTCTCCCTGTCCCCGTGTCTCCACCGAGTAGCTTCGCGATGATCTTCAACGGCACGGCCGACCTCCTGGGCTCCCTGGCCAGCACCTACGCCGGTATCGCCGTGTCTCTGTCTCACCGTGTCTCTCTCACCGTGTCTCTCTCTCCCCGTGTCCCCGTGTCTCTGTCTCTCCGCCGAGTAGCTTCGCGATGATCTTCAACGGCACGGCCGACCTCCTGGGCTCCCTGGCCAGCACCTACGCTGGTATAGCCGTGTCTCTCTGTCTCTCCGTGTCTCTCTGTCTCACCGTGTCTCTCTCTCTCTCCGTGTCTCTGTCTCCCTGTCCCCGTGTCTCCGCCGAGTAGCTTCGCGATGATCTTCAACGGCACGGCCGATCTCCTGGGCTCCCTGGCCAGCACCTACGCCGGTATCGCCGTGTCTCTCTGTCTCACCGTGTCTCTCTCTCTCCCCGTGTCTCAGTGTCTCTGTCTCCCTGTCCCCGTGTCTCCGCCGAGTAGCTTCGCGATGATCTTCAATGGCACGGCCGACCTCCTGGGCTCCCTTACCAGCACCTACGCCGGTATAGCCGTGTCTCTGTCTCACCGTGTCTCTGTCTCACCGTGTCTCTCTCTCCCCGTGTCTCCGTGTCTCTGTCTCTCCGCCGAGTAGCTTCGCGATGATCTTCAACGGCACGGCCGACCTCCTGGGCTCCCTGGCCAGCACCTACGCCGTGTCTCTGTCTCTCTGTCTCACCGTGTCTCTCTCTCCCCGTGTCTCCGTGTCTCTGTCTCTCCGCCGAGTAGCTTCGCGATGATCTTCAATGGCACGGCCGACCTCCTGGGCTCCCTGGCCAGCACCTACGCCGTGTCTCTGTCTCTCTGTCTCACCGTGTCTCTGTCTCCCTGTCCCCGTGTCCCCGTGTCTCCCCGTGTCTCCGCCGAGTAGCTTCGCGATGATCTTCAACGGCATGGCCGACCTCCTGGGCTCCCTGGCCAGCACCTACACCGGTATAGCCGTGTCTCTCTGTCTCTCCGTGTCTCTCTCTCTCCCCGTGTCTCCGTGTCTCTGTCTCCCTGTCCCTGTGTCTCCGCCGAGTAGCTTCGCGATGATCTTCAACGGCACGGCCGACCTCCTGGGCTCCCTGGCCAGCACCTACGCCGTGTCTCTGTCTCTCTGTCTCACCGTGTCTCTGTCTCCCTGTCCCCGTGTCCCCGTGTCTCCCCGTGTCTCCGCCGAGTAGCTTCGCGATGATCTTCAACGGCACGGCCGACCTCCTGGGCTCCCTGGCCAGCACCTATGCCGTGTCTCTGTCTCTCTGTCTCACCGTGTCTCTCTCTCCCCGTGTCTCTCTGTCTCACCGTGTCTCTCTCTCCCCGTGTCTCTCTGTCTCTCTGTCTCCCTGTCCCCGTGTCTCCGCCGAGTAGCTTCGCGATGATCTTCAACGGCACGGCCGACCTCCTGGGCTCCCTGGCCAGCACCTACGCCGTGTCTCTGTCTCTCTGTCTCACCGTGTCTCTCTCTCCCCGTGTCTCCGTGTCTCTGTCTCTCCGCCGAGTAGCTTCGCGATGATCTTCAACGGCACGGCCGACCTCCTGGGCTCCCTGGCCACCACCTACGCCGGTATAGCCGTGTCTCTGTCTCACCGTGTCTCTCTCTCCCCGTGTCTCTCTGTCTCCCTGTCTCTCCGCCGAGTAGCTTCGCGATGATCTTCAATGGCACGGCCGACCTCCTGGGCTCCCTGGCCAGCACCTACGCCGTGTCTCTGTCTCTCTGTCTCACCGTGTCTCTGTCTCCCTGTCCCCCTGTCCCCGTGTCTCCCCGTGTCTCCGCCGAGTAGCTTCGCGATGATCTTCAACGGCACGGCCGACCTCCTGGGCTCCCTGGCCAGCACCTACGCCGGTATAGCCGTGTCTCTCTGTCTCACCGTGTCTCTCTCTCTCCCCGTGTCTCTGTCTCCCTGTCCCCGTGTCTCCGCCGAGTAGCTTCGCGATGATCTTCAACGGCACGGCCGACCTCCTGGGCTCCCTGGCCAGCACCTACGCCGTGTCTCTGTCTCTCTCTCTCACCGTGTCTCTGTCTCCCCGTGTCTCCGTGTCTCTGTCTCTCCGCCGAGTAGCTTCGCGATGATCTTCAACGGCACGGCCGACCTCCTGGGCTCCCTGGCCAGCACCTACGCCGTGTCTCTGTCTCTCTGTCTCACCGTGTCTCTCTCTCCCCCTGTCCCCGTGTCTCCCCGTGTCTCCGCCGAGTAGCTTCGCGATGATCTTCAACGGCACGGCCGACCTCCTGGGCTCCCTGGCCAGCACCTACGCCGTGTCTCTGTCTCTCTGTCTCACCGTGTCTCTCTCTCCCCGTGTCTCCGTGTCTCTGTCTCTCCGCCGAGTAGCTTCGCGATGATCTTCAATGGCACGGCCGACCTCCTGGGCTCCCTGGCCAGCACCTACGCCGTGTCTCTGTCTCTCTGTCTCACCGTGTCTCTGTCTCCCTGTCCCCGTGTCCCCGTGTCTCCCCGTGTCTCCGCCGAGTAGCTTCGCGATGATCTTCAACGGCATGGCCGACCTCCTGGGCTCCCTGGCCAGCACCTACACCGGTATAGCCGTGTCTCTCTGTCTCTCCGTGTCTCTCTCTCTCCCCGTGTCTCCGTGTCTCTGTCTCCCTGTCCCTGTGTCTCCGCCGAGTAGCTTCGCGATGATCTTCAACGGCACGGCCGACCTCCTGGGCTCCCTGGCCAGCACCTACGCCGGTATAGCCGTGTCTCTCTGTCTCACCGTGTCTCTCTCTCCCCGTGTCTCCGTGTCTCTGTCTCTCCGCCGAGTAGCTTCGCGATGATCTTCAACGGCACGGCCGACCTCCTGGGCTCCCTGGCCAGCACCTACGCCGGTATCGCCGTCTTCTGTGTCTTCTTCGGCATCTCGTACGGGATGGTGGGCGCTCTGCAGTTCGAGGTCCTCATGGGGCTGACGGGGCCGGAGACATTCCCCTCGGCACTCGGACTCGTCCTCCTGATGGAGGCCGGAGCCGTACTCGTCGGACCTCCTGGAGCGGGTGAGGGGTGGTGGTGGTGGTGGTGGTGACGGTGGTGGTGGTGTGGGTGGTGGTGGTGGTGGTGGTAGTAGTAGTGGTAGTAGTAGTGGTGGTAGTAGTAGTAGTGGTGGTAGTGGTGCTGGTGGTGGTGGTGGTAGTGGTGGTAGTAGTAGTGGTGGTAGTAGTAGTGGTGGTAGTGGTGGTAGTGGTAGTGGTAGTAGTGGTAGTAGTAGTGGTGGTAGTGGTGGTAGTAGTTGTAGTAGTGGTGGTAGTAGCAGTGGTAGTAGTGGTGGTAGTGGTAGTAGTGGTGGTAGTGGTGCTGGTGGTAGTGGTGGTGGTGGTAGTGGTGTTGGTAGTGGTGGTGGTAGTGGTGGTGGTGGTGGTAGTGGTGGTGGTAGTAGTGGTAGTGGTAGTAGTAGTGGTAGTTCTGGTAGTGGTAGTGGTGGTAGTGTTGGTAGTAGTGGTGGTGGTAGTAGCGGTAGTGGTGGTAGTAGTGGTAGTAGTAGTGGTAGTAGTAGTGATGGTAGTGGTAGTAGAGGTAGTAGTAATAGTAGTGGTATTAGTAGTGGTAGTAGTGGTAGTGGTGGTAGTGGAAGTAGTAGTGGTAGTAGTGGTAGTAGCAGCAGTGGTAGTGATGGCAGTAGTGGTAGTAGTGGTAGTGATGGTAGTAGTGGTAGTGATGGTAGTAGTAGTAGTAGTGGTAGTAGTAGTGGTAGTAGTAGTGGTAGTAGTAGTAGTGGTAGTAGTAGTAGTGGTAGTAGTAGTGATGGTAGTGGTAGTAGTGGTAGTAGTAGTAGTGGTAGTAGTGGTAGTAGTAGTAGTGGTAGTAGTGGTGGTAGTAGTAGTAGTAGTGGTAGTAGTGGTGGTAGTAGTAGTGGTCGTGGTGGTAGTGGTGGTAGTGGTAGTAGTAGTAGTGGTGGTAGTAGTAGTAGTGGTAGTAGTGGTAGTAGTAGTGGTAGTAGTAGTGGTAGTAGTAGTGATGGTAGTGGTAGTAGTGGTAGTAGTAGTAGTGGTAGTAGTAGTAGTAGTGGTAGTAGTAGTAGTGGTAGTAGTGGTAGTAGTAGTAGTGTTAGTAGTAGTAGTGTTAGTAGTGGTAGTGATGGTAGTAGTAGTGTTAGTAGTGGTAGTGATGGTAGTAGTAGTGTTAGTAGTGGTAGTGATGGTAGTAGTAGTGGTGGTAGTGATGGTAGTGATGGTAGTAGTAGTGGTAGTAGTAGTAGTGATGATAGTGATGGTAGTGATGGTAGTGATGGTAGTAGTAGTGTTAGTAGTAGCAGTAGTGGTAGTAGTGGTAGTGATGGTAGTGATGGTAGTGATGGTAGTAGTAGTGTTAGTAGTAGCAGTAGTGGTAGTAGTGGTAGTGATGGTAGTGATGGTAGTAGTAGTGTTAGTAGTAGTGGTAGTAGTGGTAGTGATGGTAGTGATGGTAGTGATGGTAGTAGTAGTGGTAGTAGTGGTAGTAGTGATGATAGTGATGGTAGTGATAGTAGTAGTAGTGGTAGTAGTGTTAGTAGTAGTGGTAGTAGTAGTGATGGTAGTAGTGATGGTAGTAGTGTTAGTAGTAGTGGTAGTAGTAGTAGTGATGGTAGTAGTGATGGTAGTAGTGATGATAGTGATGGTAGTGATGGTAGTAGTAGTGGTAGTAGTAGTGGTAGTGATGGTAGTAGTAGTGGTAGTGATGGTAGTGATGGTAGTAGTGATGGTAGTAGTGATGGTAGTGATATCATCTCAACACCTGACCACAATCCCATCACCGGTGACCACCCCACCCCCACCCACCCCACCTTCCCCCCACCTTCCCCCCACCTTCCCCCCACCAGGTCGCCTGGTGGACTACACCCACAGCTACGTGTACATCTTCTACCTGGCAGGCGCCGAGGTGCTCTTGGCCGGCCTCGTCCTAGCCCTGGGGGCTCTTCTGTGCCTCAGGGGCAACCACAACCACCAGCACGACCACGCCCACCAACACGTGGGCGGGGCAGCAGCGGCGGTGGGCGGGGCAACGGCGGGGGCGACCAATGGGCAGGGAGACACGGAGACGCGCGTGTGACGTAGGGGGGGGGTGTGTGGGGGGGGGGGTGTGGGGGTCTGACTAGCCACTCAGCTACCCACTCAGCTACTCACTCAGCTACTCACTCAGCTACTCACTCAGCTACTCACTCACTCAGCTACTCACTCAGCTACTCACTCAGCTACTCACTCACTCAGCTACTCACTCACCTACTCACTCAGCTACTCACTCACTCAGCTACTCACTCAGCTACTCACTCACTCAGCTACCCACTCAGCTACTCACTCAGCTACTCACTCAGCTACTCACTCACTCAGCTACTCACTCAGCTACTCACTCAGCTACTCACTCAGCTACTCACTCAGCTACTCACTCAGCTACTCACTCACTCACCTACTCACCTACTCACTCACTCACCTACCCACTCACCTACTCACTCAGCTACTCACTCAGCTACTCACTCACTCAGCTACTCACTCAGCTACTCACTCAGCTACTCACTCAGCTACTCACTCACCTAATCACTCACTCACCTACTCACCTACTCACTCACTCACCTACCCACTCACCTACTCACTCAGCTACTCACTCACTCAGCTACTCACTCACTCACCTACTCACCTACTCACTCACTCACCTACCCACTCACCTACTCACTCAGCTACTCACTCAGCTACTCACTCACTCAGCTACTCACTCAGCTACTCACTCAGCTACTCACTCAGCTACTCACTCACCTAATCACTCACTCACCTACTCACCTACTCACTCACTCACCTACCCACTCACCTACTCACTCAGCTACTCACTCACTCAGCTACTCACTCACTCACCTACTCACCTACTCACTCACTCACCTACCCACTCACCTACTCACTCAGCTACTCACTCACTCAGCTACTCACTCAGCTACTCACTCACTCACCTACTCACTCAGCTACTCACTCACCTACTCACTCACCAACCTGCTCACCTACTCACTCACCAACCTGCTCACTCACTCACCTACACACTCAGCTACTCACTCAGCTACTCACTCACCTACTCACTCACCAACCTGCTCACCTACTCACTCACTCACTCACCTACTCACTCACCTACTCACTCAGCTACTCACTCAGCTACTCACTCAGCTACTCACTCACCAACCTGCTCACCTACTCACTCACTCACTCACCTACTCACTCACCTACTCACTCAGCTACTCACTCAGCTACTCACTCAGCTACTCACTCACTCAGCTACTCACTCACCTACTCACTCAGCTACTCACTCACTCACTCACCAACCTACTCACTCACTCACTCAGCTACTCACTCAGCTACTCACTCAGCTACTCACTCAGCTACTCACTCACCAACCTGCTCACCTACTCACTCACTCACCTACTCACCTACTCACTCACCTACTCACTCACTCACCTACTCACTCACTCACCTACTCACTCACCTACTCACTCACCTACTCACTCGCCTACTCACTCACTCACTCGCCTACTCACTCAGCTACTCACTCACCAACCTACTCACTCACTCACCTACACACTCACCTACTCACTCACTCACTCACCCACTCAGCTAAACACTCACCTACTCACTCACTCACCTACCCACTCAGCTACACACTCACTCACCTACCCACTCAGCTACACACTCACTCACCTACTCACTCACTCACCCACTCAGCTACTCACTCACTCACCTACTCACCTACTCACTCACCTGCTCACCTACCCACTCAGCTACTCACTCACCAACCTGCTCACCTACTCACTCACCTACTCACTCACCAACCTGCTCACCTACTCACTCACCTACTCACTCATTCACCTACTCACTCACCTACTCACTCACTCACCTACCCACTCAGCTACACACTCACTCACCTACTCACTCACTCACCCACTCAGCTACTCACTCACCTACTCACTCACTCACTCACCTACTCACCTACCCACTCAGCTACTCACTCACCTACTCACTCACCAATCTGCTCACCTACTCACTCACCTACACACTCACCTACTCACTCACCTACTCACTCACCCACTCAGCTACTCACTCAGCTACTCACTCACCTACTCACTCACCTACTCACCTACTCACTCACCTACCTGCCTACCCACTCACCTACTCACTCACCTACCTGCTCACCCGCTCACCCATTCACCTACCTGCTCACCCACTCACCTACCTGCTCACCCACTCACTCACCCACTCACTCACCCACTCACCCACCCAATCACTCACCCACTCATTCACTCATTCACCCACTCACTCACTCACCCACTCACTCACCCACTCACTCACTCACCCACCCACTCACTCACCCACTCACTCACCCACTCACTCACCCACTCACTCACCCATCCACCCACTCACTCACGCACTGTGTGTGTGAGTGGGGAGCGGTGGTGCAGTGGTTAGCGCACTGTGTGTGTGTGTGGGGAGTGGTGGTGCAGTGGTTAGCGCACTCGGTGTGTGTGTGTGGGGAGTGGTGGTGCAGTGGTTAGCGCACTGTGTGTGTGTGGGGAGTGGTGGTGCAGTGGTTAGCGCACTGTGTAAGTGTGGGCAGTGGTTGTCACGTGGAAGGGAGAGACAAAGGCGGCCGGGCGTGGTGCTGTATGTAGCCACAGTGCCGGTAGCCTTCATAGGTGCTCGCGAGCAGCACTTGCCCCTACAGCCCCCTGCTAGAGGCTACCTGGGGGAGCTTTGTCTGTGTGTCTAACACAGCACTTGCCCCTACAGCCCTGCTAGAGGCTACCTGGGGGAGCTTTGTCTGTGTGTACATCATAGGTGGTGCTACTCGCTACTAACACTGCACTTGCCCCTACAGCCCTGCTAGAGGCTACCTGGGGGAGCTTTGTCTGTGTGCCTAACACTGCACTTGCCCCTACAGCCCTGCTAGAGGCTACCTGGGGGAGCTTTGTCTGTGTGTCTAACACTGCACTTGCCCCTACAGCCCTGCTAGAGGCTACCTGGGGGAGCTTTGTCTGTGTGTCTAACACAGCACTTGCCCCTACACCCCTGCTAGAGGCTACCTGGGGGAGCTTTGTCTCTTCATGGAAGTCGAAAATTAAAGTCGCCACCCAAACTGCTAACCGAGCCGTGTCGATTTGTGAACAACACCACCATCACCACCATCACCACCATCACCACCATCATCATCACCACCACCATCACCACGACCACCATCACCACCACCATCATCACGACCACCACCACCACCATCACCACCATCATCACCACCACCATCACCACCACCAGAACCATCACCACCACCATCACCACCACCATCACCACCACGACCACCATCACCACCACCATCACCACGACCACCATCACCACGACCACCATCACCACCACCATCACGACCACCATCACCACCATCACCACCACCATCACCACCACCATAACCATCCCCACAACCATCACCACCACCATCACCACCACCATCACCACCATCAAAAACAACCGCCATTCACCACTAAGTGGCGGTGACGTCACCACGACGCTTGTACCAGGCCATGTGCACCTTGAGGCCACGTGAAGTGTCGAACGCCCGCTGGCAGGTCACGGGGCAGACCCAGGTGCCACGGGTCGACTGACTGAGATGGCTGGCTGATGCACCACCTGTGCCCCCTACTGTACCAACCTGCTGTGCTTTATATACCCGACGCTCCGCTCGTTGTTGTGAGCGTCGCTCCTCCGCCCTCCGTTGTTGTTGGAGGGCGACTGCCTCCAACTGCCCAGTAGCGTCCTTCACGAGCCTCCTCCACAGAGGCCGATCTTGACACCGCTGGTACCGGTCATCAGCAAGTCCACTCAGCTCCACATCCTCCTGTACCACATCACTCCATCTCTTCTCTAGCCCGTGCCACGCCTGTTTAGCCCCCTCGATCCAGCCGAACAAAAGCTGTTTCGGCATGCGGTGGCTGGGCATGCGGGCTACATGACCCAGCCAACGCAGCCTTGCCTGCCGGAGGAGCTCACCGATGAGACCGTGCCCAGATCTTTAAAGGATTTGTGAAGGGAGGGAATGACCGTGGCCGAGAAGACCTGAAGCTTAGTGCAGAGCGACACACCAGGTAGATTCCACGCAGCGTTACGCAACCGATGAAAAGATATTGCCGCTCGACTGATTCGGAGCGAGACCTCTGCTGTTAAACTGGAGCCGGTCATGAGCACACTGCCCAGGTATGGGAAACTCTCCACTCTCTCCACAACTGCCCAATCACCGAATGTGGGGGTGGAGTGCCCGATGGTACAAAATACCCAGGCAGGTGCTTAGTTTTGGTGGGGCTGATGGTAAGGCCCCATCTCTTAGTTGCACGCTCCAGTCTCAGCAGCAGCGTCTCCAACTCCTCCTCTGAATGAGCAGCTATTACCAAATCATCGGCATACATAACGTGGTTGAGCAATAGGGAGCCATCCCTTGACCGCACCCGGGCATCGATCAGCCTCCCATTGTATCTGTACCAGATGGAAATTCCTTCGGTACAGCTACTGAAGGCTTCACGAACTACGTGGTCAAAATAGATGTTAAATAATGTGGGAGCCAGAGGACATCCCTGTCGCACCCCAAGGTGTACAGGGAATGCCTCTGACTCCCGGCCACGTAGTTTTACCCGGGCACGCTCACCATCATGAAGGTCCTTAATGATCGTGAGCAGAGGGTCAGGGACTCCGAAAGCACGAAGAACAACCCAGAGCCCAGGCCTACTGATGGTATCATAGGCCTTGACCAGGTCAATAAAGCAGAGATGTAGGTCTTGCTGGAATTCCCTACACCTCTGCTGTAGCAGACGTACAGAAAATATGGCATCTGTGCAGGACCGCCCTTTCCTGAAACCGCATTGGGGCTCCGCAAGCCTCTCCTCAGCGTGCCTAGCAAGGCGATTTTGAATAATCCTTGCCAGGACCTTTCCCGGCACATTGAGGCGTGAGATGCCCCTGTAGTTGTTACAGTCTGTGCGGTCCCCCTTCTTAAAGAGAGGGACCACCAGGGCATCCTTCCAGTCCTGCGGAACCCGTCCAGCG